AACGAAAACCTTTGGGAATCAAAAACCCAAAAAATTTTTAAAAACAAAAAAATTTTATTTAGCTTCCCCAAAGACCCTTTTTTAAAAGTTTTCGTCTTGTCCTTAAACTTTTAACTTTTTTCCAAAATTTTTTGGGGTTCCCACAATTCGGGGCCCGTTGGGTTTTTCCCCGCCCACTATAAAAACCTTTGGGGAGGGGGGTTTTGGGGGCCGCCCAAGAGCCCTAACTCTCCCCCTTTTTGGTTAGCCCCAACACCTGGAGGGGTGGGCAGGGGGAAAAAAAAGATTTTCCCATGCCCCCATGGGATGGCGTTTTGGAAAAAGTGTGGGGCCCCTGGGAAATTTGGGAATCTAAATAATAAAAAAGTGGGACCAAAAGAAAAACCTAAACCCCTCCCCCGCTTTATTTCAACCCGGGAAACACCCTTCACCCCCGTCCCCCAAAAACCCGCTTGCTCTCAAAAGGACCAAGCAAAAAATTTACGTTTTAACCCCTTTGTTTTTTTAGAAAAGGGCCCTTTTTTTTTTTTTTCCCTTTTTATTTTTTTTGAAATTGAAAGGGCCCTGACCAATCTTTCCCCCCATTGATTTGGGTTGGGTTTTTTAAAAATTTGGGGGGCATTTTGAGCCTAATCATCTTTTGGGGGGGTATTGGGCTTCCCCCCCCCGGCCCCCCCTGGACCTTTTTTCCCCGTAAAAGGGTTTTTTGGCCCCCTTGGAAAATTTTAAAGTTTTGTGTTTGTTTTTGTTATGTTTTAAAAAATTTACTGGTTTCCGCTTTTTTGGTTGTTTTCCTTTGGAGTGGGATTTTTCCAAAGGGTTAAATTTTTTTTTTTGTCCCCCTGTTGGTTTTTTGGGGGTTTTTTTTAAGAAAGGACCCTTTTAAGAAATGCATTCATGATACCCAGAAGGGTTGGAAAATGCCCAAGGGTTTTCAAAAATTTCTTGGCCAAAGGGGGGTATTTTTGAAACTTTAAATTTTTGATTGTTTTTTTTTGGGAACCCTGGTTAATTGTTTTTCAATTTATGCTTTAATTTTTCTACCTGTTTTCATTGTTAAAAATAAAAAAATTGAATATTGGTTTCCAAAAATTTTACTTTGGAAATCCCTTTTTAATATTTTTAAATTTCTTTCAGTTACTTTTTTGTTTTTGAGCCTTTGGGCATTTTATTCGGTTGGGCCCCCCCCTTTGAAAAAAACCTTTAAACAAAACCCTTTTCCCCCCCTTTTTGGAAATTTTTTAATTTTTTTCCCCTTTTTCCCCCTTCCTTTTTCCCGCAAGCCCCTAAAAAGACTTTTTTTTTTTCATTGGGATAAGACAAAGCAAAAACAGGTTTTTATATATTTTAGCAAATGCATAAGAAATACAAAACTGAAATATCACATTTACATACAGTACCAATCAAAAGTTTGGACACGCCTACTCATTCAAGGGTTTTTCTTAATTTTTACTATTTTTTACATTGTAGAATAATAGTGATGACATCAAAACTATGAAAGAACACATTTAGAATCATGTAGTAACCAAAAAAGTGTTAAACAAATCAAAATATATTTTATATTTGAGATTCTTCAAATAGCCACCCTTTGCCTTGATGACAGCTTTGTACGCTCTTAGCATTCTCTTAACCAGCTTCACATGGAATGCTTTTCCAACAGTCTTGAAGGAGTTCCCACATATACTAAGCACTTGTTGGCTGCTTTTCCTTCACTCTGCCGTCCGACTCATCCCAAAACATCTCAATTGGGTTGAGGTCGGGGGATTGTGGAGGCCAGATCATATGATGCAGCACTCCATCACTCTCCTTCTTGGTAAAATAGCCCTTACACAGCCTGGAGGTGTGTTGGGTCATTGTTCGATTGAAAAACAAATGATTGTCCCACTAAGCCCAAACCAGATGGGATGGCGTATCACTGCAGAATGCTGTGGTAGCCATGCTGGTTAAGTGTGCCTTGAATTCTAAATAAATCACAGACAGTGTCACCAGCAAAGCACCCCCAAACCATAACACCTCCTCCTCCATGCTTCACGGTGGGAACTACACATGCGGAGATCATCCGTTCACCCACTCCGCGTCTCACAAAGACACAGCGGGTTTGATACAAAAATCTCCAATTTGGACCAAAGGACAAATATCCACCGGTCTGATGTCCATTGCTCGTGTTTCTTAGCCCAAGCAGGTCTCTTCTTCTTATTGGTGTCCTTTAGTAGTGGTTTCTTTGCAGCAATTCGACCATGAAGGCCTGATTCACACAGTCTCCTCTGAACAGTTGATGTTGAGCTTTGTCTGTTACTTGAACTTATTTGGGCTGCAATTTCTGAGGCTGGTAACTCCAATGAACTTATCCTCTGCAGCAGAGGTAACTCTGGGTCTTCCTTTCCTGTGGCGGTCCTCATGAGAGCCAGTTTCATCATAGCGCTTGATGGTTTTTGCGACAGCGCTTGAAGAAATGTTCAAAGTTCTTGAAATGTTCAGTATTGACTGACCTTCATGTTTTAAAGTAATGATGGACTGCCGTTTCGCTTTGCTTATTTGAGCTGTTCTTGCCATAATATGGACTTGGTATTTTACCAAATAGGGCTATCTTCTGTATACCCCCCTACCTTGTCACAACACAACTGATTGGCTCAAACACATTAAGAAGGAAAGAAATTCCACAAATTAACTTTTAAGAAGGCACACCTGTTAATTGAAATGCATTCCAGGTGACTACCTCATGAAGCTGGTTGAGAGAATGCCAAGAGTGTGCAAAGCTGTCATCAAGGCAAAGGGTGGCTATTTGAAGAATCTCAAATATGAAATATATTTAGATTTGTTTAACACTTTTTTGGTTACTACATGATTCCATATGTGTTATTTCATAGTTTTGATGTCTTCACTATTATTCTACAATGTAAAACATTGTAAAAATAAAGAAGAACCCTTGAATGAGTAGGTGTGTCCAAACTTTTGACTGGTAGTGTAAGTATTCAGACCCTTTACTCAGTACTTTGTTGAAGCACCTTTGGCAGTGATTACAGCCTTGAGTCTTACATTTACATTTTAGTCATTTAGCAGACGCTCTTATCCAGAGCGACTTACAGTTAGTGAATACATATTTTTTTATACTGGCCCCCCGTGGGAATCGAACCCACAACCCTGGCGTTGCAAACACCATGCTCTATCAACTGAGCTACATCCTGCCGGCCATTCCTCCCTACCCTGGACAAGCTGGGCCAATTGTGCGCCGCCCATGAGTCTCCGGTCGCGGCCGGCTGCGACAGAGCCTGGATTCGAACCAGGATCTCTAGTGGCACAGTTAGCACTGCGATACAGTGCCTTAGACCACTGCGCCACCCAGGAGTCTTCTTGGGTATGACGCTACAAGCTTGGCACACCTGCATTTGGGGAGTTTCTCCCATTCTTCTCTGCAGAGCCTCTCAAGCTTGTCAGGTTGGATGGGGAGAGCGTCGCTGGCACAGCTATTTTCAGGTCTCTCCAGAGATGTTTGATCGGGTTCAAGTCCGGGCTCTGGCTGGGCCACTCAAGGACATTCAGAGACTTGTCCCAAAGCCACTCCTGTCTGGTCTTGGCTGTGTGCTTAGGGTCGTTGTCCTGTTGGAAGGTGAACCTTCTCCCCAGTCTGAGGTCCTGAGCGCTCTGGAGCAGGTTTACATCAAGGATCTCTCTGTACTTTGCTCCTTTCATCGTTCCTTCGATCCTGACTAGTCACCCAGTCCCTGCCGCTGAAAAACATCCCCACAGCATGGTGCTGCCATCACCATGCTTCACCTTAGGGATGGTGCCAGGTTTCCTCCAGACGTGACGCTTGGCATTCAGGCCAAAGAGTTCATTCTTGGTTTCATCAGACCAGAGAATCTTGTTTCTCATGGTCTGAGAGACTTTAGGTGCCTTTTGGCAAACTCCAAGCGGGCTGTCATGTGCCTTTTATTGAGGAGTGGCTTCCGTCTGGCCACTCTACCATAAAGGCCTGATTAGTGGAGTGCTGCAGAGATGGTTGTCCTTCTGGATGGTTCTCATCTCCACAGAGGAACTCTGGAGCTCTGTCAGAGTGACCATCGGATTCTTGGTCACCTCCCTGAGGTCCTTCTCCCCCGATTGCTCAGTTTGGCCGGGCGGCCAGCTCTGGGAAGAGTCTTGGTGGTTCTAAACTTCGTCCATTTAAGAATAATGGAGGCCACTGTGTTCTTGGGGACCGTCAATGCTGCAGAAATGTGTTGGTACCTTTCCCCAGATCTTTGCCTCAACACAATCCTGTCTCGGAGCTCTACGGACAATTCCTTCGACCTCATGGCTTGGTTTTTGCTCTGACATGCACTGTCAAATGTGGGACCTTATATAGACAGGTGTGTGCCTTTCCAAATCATGTCCAATCAATTGAATTTACCACAGGTGGACTCCAATCAAGTTGTAGAAACATCTCAAGGATGATCAATGAAAACAGGATGCACCTGAGCTCAATTTTGAGTCTCATAGCAAAGGGTCTGAATATTTATGTAAATAAGGTATTTCAGTTTTTTATTTTTAATACATTTGCAAAAATGTATAAAAACCTGTTTTCGCTTTGTCATTATGGGGTATTGTGTGTAGATTGATGAGGGAAAACATTGATTTAATCAATTTTAGAATAAAGCTGTAACGTAACAAAATATGGAAAAAGTCAAGGGGTCTGAATACTTTCCGAATGCACTGTATGCTTCCAACAATTGAGTGGGTAAACCTAATAACCAACGTTTCTGCAATTAGGTTATTACATTTACCCATTAAATTGTTGGGAGCATATATAGAGTGTGGGACTTTCTTTCTTTTGGTACAGTTTACTCTTGGTTAGTCAACAGCACCTCTACAAACATTTTTGGGTCAGAGTCAGTTAATGCTTTTACTACATCTGGTACACATGAAGTCTGTCATGACAGACACATGAAAAAGTAAGACAATGCTGATTGGTCAACCTATCCTTCCTGCTGATTGGTTCTCCTCACCCCCACCCCTCTCAGGGAGGAGATGACGTGATGGGCTGTGTCCATGATGATAATGGCCGTGTTCGTATCCATCACTTTTACAACGTGGGCCAGTGGGCCAAGGAGATCAAGAGGAATCCTGCCAGGGATGAAGAGGGCGTCTTTGACAACAACCGTGTGACCTGCCGCTTCAAACGGCCGCTCTACGTCCCCAGAGAGGAGACACTGGTGGACCTGCATCTCTCTTGGTACTACCTGTTGGCCTGGGGACCTGCTATACAAGGTCAGCCAATGAGTGTGTATGTGGTTGTGTGTGTGCAGAAAGTTGATGTGTGTTTATTAGCATGTACATGTAAATTATTTCTCTTACTCTCCTCCCCCACTCTTCTCCTTTCCTTCTCTCCTTTCCTCCTCTCCTCCAGGTTCCATCACACGTCATGACAACGATGCTCCACCAGTCTCCGATCACATGATCAGCATCTATAAGTATGAGGACATCTTCATGCCGTCTACAGCCTACCAGACGTTCTCCTCTCCCTTCTGTCTGCTGCTCATAGTAGCCCTCACCTTCTATCTGCTGATGGGCACGCCCTGAGAGAGAGGAGGAGAGAAGAGAGGAGACGAGACGAGATGAGAGAAGAGGAGAGAAGAGGAGAGAAAATTACATTTTACATTTTTAGTCATTTAGCAGACGCTCTTATCCAGAGCGACTTACAGTTAGTGAGTGCATACATTTTTCATACTGGCCCCCCATGGGAAACGAACCCACAACCCTGGCGTTGCAAGTGCCATGCTCTACCAACTGAGCTACAGGAGGGCAAATGAGAGATGAGAGGAGAGGAGAGGAGAGGAGAGGAGAGGAGAGGAGAGAAGAGAGGAGAAGAGAGGAGACGAGAGGAGAGGATAAGAGAGGGGACGAGAGGAGACGAGAAGAGACGAGAAGAGAGAAGGAGAGAGGAGAAGAGAGGAGACGAGAGGAGACGAGAGGAGAGGGGACGAGAGGAGACGAGAGGAGAGGAGAGAGGAGAAGAGAGGAGACGAGAGAAGAGGAGAGGAGAAGAGACAAGAGGAGAGAGGAGAGGACAGAAGAGGAGAGGAGAGGACAGAAGAGGAGAGGACAGAAGAGGAGAGGAGAGGACAGAAGAGGAGAGGAGAGGACAGAAGAGGAGAGGAGAGGACAGAAGAGGAGAGGAGAGAAGAAAGGAGACGAGAGGAGAGAAGAGAGGAGAGAAGAGAAGAGGAGAGGACAGAAGAGGAGAGATGAAAGGAGATGAGGAAGAAGACAGGAGAAGAGAAAAGAGCCAGCAATAAGACTGAGATTTTAAATTGTATTTCTGTCTGCCACACCCTCAATGCAGGGTGCTCTTTACACATAATTTCACTATAAATATATATGAATAAATATATACAGTAGGATACTATATATACTTTACATTGAGGACTCATCAGGAAGCTTGCAAATCATTCAGAAAATGGTATTGTATTACCATAACAACATACACTAACCCATTAGTCAGAAAATCTGAAATATTGTAGGTGTTTCTAGAGAACAGTAGCATAACCTTTAGTTTTAGCAAGGTATTTAATTGAGGTCATTTATGTTTATGACAGTAAGGTATTGCACACCTGACAACAAGTATTACTCCAACGCATGTGGCGAATCACAGCTGGACCCTGAATATGTGAAGAACCTACGGACACGATACCAGGAGACGTTACACACTGGGACAGACTACTGAGACTGGAGAGAGATTTCACTTAGAGAGAACCATCCAGATTGATGTGAGCCAAATAAAAGCAGACAGCTCATAGTTTATTATCCTGCTGAAACATACTGCTTCTGTATGCAGCCATGCTTTACACAACACTCATTCTCCACAGGGAAATACAGTATTATTAGTATTAGTATTATAGTATTTGTATACAGAAACTAAGACTAGATGGTTGAACAGATGTTTTATTTTTCAGCTCTGAGACCTATCAACAATGGCCTATTCAGCCCCAGGGGATAAGTCTTTACTATGTAACAATGAACTCTATACTGTATTCCACAATGTGTGAAAGGGTCCATTTTTTTAGGATTGCTTTATTTCACCACATGCTAGTTCATATGTTTCATTTGCTTGTGGCGAAGTGCGTGTGTGTGATCACTGTTTGCTGATGATAGGGCAGCTGGCTGTATGATTGATGGTGCATGATTCCTTTGTAGATATGCAATAACACACCCATCAGCACTGAGCCTATAGTGGACATTATGACAGCCAGGGACAGAGGCTCTGTCTGACAGCTTGCCTTGGCCCTGCAGCATATGGCCTAGAGCTGAAGGAATCTAAGGCACAGAGTCCAGTTGTATTTGTACCGTTCACTGAACCGTTGTTTTACATGGAAATGCTTCCCCACTGAAACAGTGTCTAGTGTCTAACATGCAAGTGTTTTTGTTTTCAATAAAGCTGTGTTCAGTAAAAAATACCCAACAACATCTTGTTTTCATCCCTGTTGGTAATGTGATGGATCTGTCATCTGCATCATGTGCCCTTCAGGCAACATACATTTAATCTGCAATGTAATGAATTTACAACAATACAACATCTGTGTGGGTCGCCCTGGGCTGGGAACAAATAATGGGCATTGACATATTTTTGGACAAGCAGCACATTCTAAATAATTCAAGATAATAGAGGATAGGGATAGACTACAGATAACTGGGTAACACTTCATTTTAAAGGGTCCTTATTACAGTGTATTTACACTGTAACAAGTATTGTAGTTAACGTGTAACAACTCATATTTACAGTGTAACAACAACATGTAACTGGTACTAATTGCGGTCTGTAATTACAAAGGTGTAACAATTAATGCTTGTTACCATGCTTGTTACAATAGGCAGGTTTCCACTAAATTCACCAACTTAGTGTTTTGTTTCTTCTCAGCTGCATACAGTTACAACTGTTACAAAGGTTGTGATCCCTCGTGGATGCGCTGGGTGTCTGAGAGATTATAGCCTATGCTCAATATGCTCTAATTACTTAGCCTTGAATGTGCACTGTTCAAACTATATCTCCACTCAGTGTTGTTGCTAGCACTTGCCCCCAAAATAAAGTGTACCATCTGGGTTAACATGGTTGAGCTGGTAAAAACAGATCAGAAAGTCAACCTCACTGATTGGGATCTAACATGGGTGGCATCCCAGATGTGGAAAAATACACTATTTCAAAGCATAGTACAAGTAATGTTTGCCTAAGTACAATGTAATTACTAGTTGTTACACGGGATTTAGCTCATTAAAATTAAGTGTATCTTGAGGGGTACTTAGTTGTAATTAATGTGTACTTATACAGTACACTACACATCCTGACCCTCAAGCTTCTGGAAGTTTCACTTCATTTCACAATAAGGTACAGAAATTAAGTGAAACTTCCAGAAGCTTTAAAATGAGGGCCAGGTTGTCAGGATGTGTAGTGTACTGTATAAGTACACATTAATTACAACTAAGTACCCCTCAAGATACACTTAATTTTAAGTAGCTAAATCCCGTGTATCAACTAGTAATTACATTGTACTTTGTACATTGTACAAACATTACATGTGCTATGCTTTGAAATAGTGTATTTTTCCTCATCTGTGATCACAAAGTTAACCCAGATGGTACACTTTATTTGGTGGCAAGTGCTAGCAATAACGTTGAGTGGATATCTTTTTTCAACAGTGCACATTCATGCGTAAGTAATTAGAGCCTATTGAGCATCATTTCTCGGACACCAAGCGCATCCACGAGGGATCACAACCTTTGTAACAGTTGTAACTGTATGCAGCTGAGAAGAAACAAAACACTAAGTTGGTGAATTTAGTGGAAACCTGCCCATTTGTAACAAGCATGGTAACAAGCATTCATTGTTACACCTCTGTAATTACATACCTCAATTACTACCAGTTACATGTTGTTTTTACAGTGTAACTATTGGTTGTTACAGTTAACTACAATACTTGTTACAGTGCATGTAATTACACTGTAATAAGGGCCCTTAAAATGAAGTTTTACCGATAACTGTTGTAGCCTAGGCCGAGATTGTAATGATAGGCTATGTATAATTTGCAAATATGTGGTTACTTTGCATATTTGCTACGTGACAGCACGGACATCCTCAATTCGTGGTGATCCTCCCTAAGGTCTGTTTATTCAAGTTTCTGTGTGTAGTTTAACTGGGCATTCCAAGGAGTAGGCTACTAGCAGGCAAACTGAGCAGTGAGCACAGCTCTGTCTGGCACCAGCTAGCTACAATACATTTACATTTTACATTTTAGTCATTTAGCAGACGCTCTTATCCAGAGCGACTTACAGTTTGTGAGTGCATACATTTTTTCATACTTTTTTCCCCCATACCCATCATGCCTTGCGACAAACACGTCACCAGTGTGATGGTGGTTTCAAAGATACTGGAAACTAACGCTCCTTCTTCTGTCTGTGGTGGTATTGGGTGTGATCCGCAGGGGGAACGCAGACCGAGGCGGATTCATTGAAGATGGCAGACGAGGAGGACTCGGGGCCGGAGGCAGAGCCAGCTCCTTCCTCTCCCGCGGAGACCCCTCGTTCCGCCCGGCCTCACTACGTCTCGTTCTCCGAGAGCGTCCAGCCAGCGGTGGGCATGATGAGCCAGCTACTCAGCCAGCCTTCCTCCCTCAAATTCGACAAGAACATCAAACAGGCCTTCTACAACACAGGGGCGATGATTTTCGTGGCTATCTGTTGCGGAGCGGCTGTGCTAGTCTTCTTTATCCTGGAAGCCTTTCTGCGACCACTGCTCTGGGCCGTTCTCTGCGGGACCTTCCTCCACCCGTTCAAACACTCCCTAGCCCGGCTGGGCCGCTCCTGGCTCAACGGCCTGCAGGACACCGGGACGCCGATACTCCTGGGGACGCTGCTGGTCCCTGTGTGGTGTTTCAACCACGGGGTGGATTTCCTGGGGGGGCTGGTACTGGAGAGGCTCACGGTGCTGCTGGTGATCGGGGCGGGCGCGCCCCTCATCTACTTCTTTTACCTGTTCTGGAGCGTGATTGGCATGCAGGTGATCATCGGGCACGTGTGTGATGTCATCGGGGGCGCGCTGGACTGCTTCCACTCTGTGTGGGTGAGTGACAGGGACACTACTGACACTAAGGGGGAAGGCCCCCACAACAATAAGAAAGGCTTTTCCAATACTGTAGCCTACAACAGGATGGGCAGGGGATAACACTGTAATGCAGCCCTTACATGAATCAAGTACTCAGCTAACTCAATTAAGAATTTCATGAGACCTTTCACATGCCTTGGCTTAGAGTGTGTGTGTGTGTGTGTGTGTGTGCTTGTGCTTGTTCGTGTGTGTGGACAGGAGGCTACTGTCCATAACTGAATAATTTCCTTAAACTCTTTATAAAAGAGATAAAGAACTCTTATAAAAAATACTTTCCTTGTTATATCTTAGATACGTAACATCTATTTAATCATCTTTACTATCTCAAATCCTAACAACTCCCTCTCTAGTCTATACCTCCCTACTCCTCAATATTCTACTCTCTTGCTCTCTCCTACTCATCACTCATCTATCTCTCTACATTGTCTATGCTCATACTCCCTCCTAATCTTTCCACTCTCTAGATGTCTCTGCTCTATTACTCCCTCACCCTGCATCTCTACGCGCTCTCTGTGGTCCTAGATAATAGCAGATGCTCTCGGCAGCAGCTCTCTGCAAACCCTCACAAATATAGAGCTAAGCGTTATCTCTATCTACTCCCGAATCTTGTCTCTCTATAGTCTCTATCATGATATTATCTGAACTCCTCATATTTACCACTCTATCTGTCTCTTCTCTTTCTTACACCATCCCTCATATTCTCCTATACTGTCTCTCTATCTACTTCTACTCCCTCCCTCATCTTCCCTCTCTCTGTCTCTCTCTCTCTACTCCCTCCCTCCCTCCTCTTCTCCCTTCCTGTCTTCCTCTCTCTAGGTGATGACAGTGGTGTTGGGGTATGTGCTGGCTGTAGCCTGCAAATGGAGCCCTGTTACAGAGGGATACCTGAGAACTATGTCTGTACCTGTCTGGACAATACTACTCTTCTACCTGGGTGAGGAGAGGGGGAGAGAGGGAGGGAGAGAGAGGAGGAGCTATGTGAGTGAGAGACATGCCTGTTCCTGTCTGGACAACACGTTCTATTCTTCTACCTGGATACAAACAGGGGAGTGGGAGAGGGAGTAGGAGAGGGAGATGGAGGGGGGTAACTTTGTAGGTATTTATGTTCCATCATAAGATAAGGAAGTGTATAAAGGTAAAGTGTGTGGCCGTGGCCTCAGGATATTTAGTCTTTAGTATTAATAGACAGCTGGTAGTGTGCTGGGAGGGAGGGAGGCGGTGGTAACCTTCAGGCTGAAATGTTAAAAGGTACTGAGAGCTGAGACCACTGCTAGGACGGAGGTATTTAGAGGCAGAGTAGTAGCACATTCTGATGTAGTTTCAACAGGAGTCTACTGTTCATTAATCATCACGCTGTCATACTCCCCTCTCACCATATACCTTCCCCTCTCCCCCCTCTCCCCCATGCCTCCCTCTCTAGTGTCTCTGACTGGCTCGTGGAGAGTTCCTGTGTTTGTAATCGTGGTCACGCTCCTCATTGTGGGCTCTCAAGAGAAACCACCTGTCCCTGGCAACTCAGGTGAGCTGTCAGGACAGGTGTTGTCGTTCGCTGCTAACACCATCTACATGGCCATCTCCTGCAGTAACCTCCGCCTGGGCCCCGAGAGAGAGACCAGCACCAGCAGTGGCTCCACAGGTCAGATAACACACAAACACACACACACACACACACCACAGTGGTTATCACAGTCAGCCACAAAAAGCTCTCTAAGTGTTAATTCTATATTAATTTAATAGATGTTGAAGGTTTGGACTGATTTAATGACCACTTCCTCACCCTTTCTATAACTCTTTCATTCCAAATATACTTGTCCCCCCCACCTCCCACAACGCCCGACGCCCACAGCGCCCCCGACGCTCCAGCGCCACCCCGCCCACAGCCGCCGACGACCACAGCCCCCCACGACGCGCACGCCCACAGACACGCCCCCCGCAGCAGCCACATCACACGCTCGCAGGCCCCACGTTCGCTCGATCTCTCCCCTCTCGCCTACACGCCACATCCCCCATACCTCCCACCCCCCTACGCTCATCATCGTCCCCCTACTCATCATCTGCCCCCTCCTCTCCACATCTCCCCCCTACTCTCCACATCTCCCCCCTACTCTCCTCATCTCCCCCCTACTCTCCTCATCCCCTCCTCTCCTCATCTCCCCCTACTCTCCACATCTCCCCCCTCCTCTCCACATCTCCCCCCTCCTCTCCTCATCTCCCCCCTACTCTCTCTCTGTAGATGGGGTGGACTCTGTGGGCCCTGGCCCATCCTGTCCCCCCTCTGTCCTCCCGTTCCCCCGTCGGGCCCGTGCTGAGCTGGGGGGTCTCTTCCAAAAGGAGAAGGGGTCCCAAAGAGCCAGTGATATCTACTTTGTCCTGCTGGTCTGGGCTTTTGTACTGGTCCAAGTCTGGCTCAATCTCTGGATGCTACAACTACTGCCTATCCCAGTGGCTGGTAATATCTGAAACACTCACACACACTTACACACAGATACTTACACAGACAGGCACACACACTGACCCAGGCACTCACACCGACCCAGGCGTGCACACACACCAATGTATAACAGTGTGTGTGTGTGTGTTGTAGTGTGGGTGTTGAAGAAGCTGGTGGTACGTTTTGGTCTGAAGCGATTCGCTGAGAAGACTCTGTCGTCATGGTGGGTAGGACTGGAGAAGTTTGGCCGTGAGCGACAGGACGCCATCATGCCTGGACCAATCAAAGGACTCGTTCAGTTCCTGCTACGCGTTGACACCAAGGTAATGGCACACCCCCCCGGCCAACCCCCCTAAGACACACACCCACCCTGCCAACCCTCCCTGATACACACAACCCACCCTGGCCAACCCCCTAAGACACACAGCCACCCTGCCAACCTCCCTGATACACACGCCCACCCTGACAACCCCCCTAAGACACACAACCACCCTGCCAACCTCCCTGATACACACAGCCACCCTGCCAACCCCCCTAAGACACACACCCACCCTGCCAACCTTCCCTGATACACACAGCCACCCTGCCAACCGCCCTGATACACACAGGGCACCCTGCCCAACCTCCCGGAACACACATCCACCCTGCCAAACTCCCCCTGATACACACAGGCCACCCTGCCAACCTCCTGATACACACAGCCAACCCTGCCAACCACCCCTAAGACAAAGCCACCTGTCAACCCCTGATACACACATCCACCTGCCAACCTCCCTGATACACACAACCACCCTGCCAACCCCCTAAGAACAACACCCGCCAACCTCCCTGATACACACAGCCCCTGCCAACCTCCCTGATACACACAGCCACCCTGCCAACCACCCTAAGACACACAGCCACCCTGCCAACCTCCCTGATACACACAACCACCCTGCCAACCTCCCTAAGACACACAGCCACCCTGCCAACCTCCCTGATACACACAGCCACCCTGCCAACCTCCCTGATACACACAACCACCCTGCCAACCCCCTGAAGACACACAGCCACCCTGCCAACCTCCCTGATAACACACAGCCACCCTGCCAACCTCCCTGATACACACAGCCACCCTGCCAACCTCCTGATACACACAGCACCTGCAACCCCCATAAGACACACAGCCACCCTGCAACCATCCTGATACACACAACACACTGCCAACTCCTGATTACACCAGCCACATGCAATCACCTAAGACACAATCCATCTGCCAACTCCCTGATACACACAGTCCACCCTGCAACCTCCTGATACACACAGCACCTGCCAACCTCCCTGATAACACTCACCTGCAACCTCCCTGTACACACATCACCCTTTCCAACCTCCTGAGAGCACACAACCACCCTGCCAACCTCCTGATACACACCCCCTGCCAACCTCCCTGATACACCACACCCCTGCCAACCTCCCTGTACACACATCCACCCTGCAATAGCCCTGAGACACACATCCACCTGCCAACTCCTGTACACACACCCCTGCCAACCTCCCTGAGACGCACAGCCCCCTTTTTTTTTAACCTTCCTGACCTCTCTGGTCACCACTAGAAGGTACTGATGCATACAACACTGTAGACAAGATACAACACAATTCTTATCTACAGTGATTCTGTGATTTTGATTGGCTAGCAGCAGTGTAGTGTCCTGTCTACCCAGGGGTAATGCTTCTGGACAGTTAAGGTAAGGGTTGAAGCTGGGTGAAGAGGCAGGAGCTGGTCTTCTCTGTGATATATGAATGATCTCCCTACAGGTTAATATTACTACTGAATGATCTCCTTACAGGTTAATATTACTACTGATAGAGGTCACTTAATTATTTTACCTCTTGTCTCACCCCCCTCGTCTCACCCCCCCTCGTCTCACCCCCTCGTCTCACCCCCCTCGTCTCACTCCCCTCGTCTCACCCCTACGCCTCAATGAGGAAAGAAGAAAAAAGATTGTACCACCTCTCCTCTCTCTTTCTCTCTCTCTCTCTCTGTCTCTCTCTCTCTCTCTCTTTCTCTCTCTCTGCCTCTCTCGGTCTCTGTCTCGCTCTCTCTCTCTCTCTCTCTGTCTCTCTCTCTCTGTCGCTCTCTCTCTCTGTCTCTCTCTCTCTCTCTCTCGCTCTCTGCACCATTTTGTTGTTTGTATTATGCTCAAGCACACGTTGACAGATCTGGTATCCAATCAGTACGGCATTTACTCCCTGCATCCAATCAGAAATGTCCTGCAACACTTCCTGTTTTCTAAAGCCTGCCCTTACTGCCTGTGTCCAATCACAATCTTTGTTGTTTGTGCTTGGGAACCATGTGATGACCAATATCTCTTTGTCTCCTCCTGAAGCTCTGGCATTGGCTTAACAAGCAGGTAATGTTCTGGAGGAGAGCTCTGCTGAGAGAGAGAGAGAGAGAGAGAGAGAGAGAGAGAGCATAATGTGAAAATGAGAATGAAAGAGAGAGGAAGAGGAAGAGTCTGTGTGTACGAGTGTGAAAGAGTCAGACAACAAAAGAGAGTGTGATAAAGGAAGGAAGAAGGAGAGTGTGAAGCAGTGTGAGCACCCTATAGTAGCTTGGAGTGACGCTGTACCCATCCACTGTCATCCCTCCATCTTGTCTCCACCCCTCACTGACCTCACTTCCTCCCTGCTTCCTGCTTCTGTAGTGGTGAAGCTACGGTGGGGCGAGCTCATTCATTGGCTCCTCAACCTTCCTTAGCTTCTCCTCTGTGACCTGATTGGCTGGTTGGCTTCTGCGCGTGTGTGAGCTGCATGGAGAGAGCAGACTGCTTTAGACCAAGCTGATGGGGGGTGCCGGGGGGTTGGGTTGGGTAGCAGTGCTGTGCCTACCATTGCCAAGACAGGGTAGACCCCCCTGCTATTCCCTAGCTCTGGCAATTAAGATCTGTACCATGGAGGGGCATTAGCAGACCGCCTAAAGAAAGATCTGGGTGGGGTCCTGGGGGCTACATGGGTTCTGGAGGGGTAGGACTGAGCTGGTACTGGGTTGAGTTGGAGTCTGATCCATATTGGGCAGGGGGGGGGACATCCATATTACTGACTATCCTGTAGTGAAGGCTTTAGATTAGCATCTTTAAAGATAGACTCAGCCTCGAGCAGCACGTCTGATATTGAGATGAGCGAGATGCAAGACTTCGCTTTCACACAGTCACACACAGCGTGGTAGCCACAGGACCAAAGCAGGGGAGAAGTTGAGCCTCGCGCTTCAACGCTCTTAGTTGTTGCGGAAATCGACCCACTATGCTGAGTCTAGCTTTAAAACAGCAGTTACATCAAACCGTCCTTGATGATTTCTGATTCTGACTGGTCTTGAGCTGAGCCTTGCTCTAGTCTATATTTCTGTAGAATCTATATTGTAGAATTTTAGATCTCTCAGATTCTCCTTCTGTTATGTGTGGACTCAGGATGTGTCCCAATACCCTGAGGTTGCCACCATATTGCTTCATGTGCTGTCAGGTCAGTGGCCATGCTGTGTTACACCACTGGGACACTGCCTTACTAATATCTCATCATCGGCTCCAGCCTCCTGACGGTAACGCTCAACACTCTTCCTCAGTGACCTCACACACTCCCAGGTCACTTAGGAAGGTGTCATAATGCTGTCATAAGGCTGCCATAAGGCATCATAGGGTTGTTATAAGGCAAGGGACATAGAGAAACCTAAATACTGGGAAATGACTGTCCCTACCTGTGGCCCTTAGAGGAAATGCCCCTTAAAGTTACAATAAAGACGTGTAAAGAGATGAGCCTGCAGACAGGGCACACGTCTCACACACAGCCCTTGGGTTTAACATGCATGCACTCATGCATGGTGTGTGATAGAGTGTGTCTGTGTACACAGGCTGTTCTCAGGATCCAAGATGGCGGCGGTAGGCTTTAGTTCAGACACAGAATGTCTGCCTTGGTCTCTGGTTTCCCAGGGGAGAAGGACACAGGTTTCTCCATGTGTCCAGCCACATCTGCAACACCTCCTAATGGCAGATACTGACTTATGTCTCTCTTTCTCTCTGTCACCTTCCCCCTTCTTTTTTTATCTCTCTCTCTTTTCTCTAACTCTCTCTCTCTCTCTCTCTATCTCTCTCTCTCTGTCTGTAGATGGTCATATGGTTGGAGCGCTCCCTGGATAAACTAATCAGTATCTTCATCATCTTCCTGTTGGTGACAGGAACTCTGCTCATGGGTCTCCTGCTCACTGCTATGGTACGGTACTGTGTGTCCCTCAGAGCTTACCGTAGTTTGATTTCCTCCTCTACCACTAATTAATAATAGCTAATTGAGATATAGGCTATTTTCAGCATAACCTCTCTCTCTCTCTCTCTCTTTCTCTGTAGGTTCATCATGAAAGTGTTCATATCATAGAGGTCACCAGTAACCTTATCAACGAGACTGTGTCCAACCATCCAGAATGGGCCAAGTAAGCTTCTTGCACACTTGGCTGTCCATCGATATTGAAGTCGCTCTGGATAAGAGCATCTGCTAGATGACGTAAATGTAAATGTAATGACTTTACTCCCAATTGTCACAGAAGTTTGATTGTTGTGTGGGGTTGCGGTTGTGCCAGTGCATGTGGTTGTGCAGGCCAAAGCCAGACCTGCATGGTATGCCACATGAGGAGAGGGTTGCCCCTGCTGCTGGGGTTCGTGTGCAGGCCGTTGGATTGTCCTCTGTGATTATGTCCTGGAGGTGTGTTGACACCCGGGTGGCAGGTGGAACTCCAGGTATGTCGGTTGGTAGCCAGGTTCTCCAAGTTAAACATTGCCGAGGTCTGGCTATAAGGTGAATGCACCAATTTGTAAGTCGCTCTGGATAAGGGCGGCAGGTAGCTTAGTGGTTAAGAGCGTTGTGCCAGTACCCGAAAGGTCGCTGGTTCTAATCCCCGAGCCGACTAGGTGAAAAATATGTCGATGTGCCCTTGAACAAGGCACTTAAACCTAATTGCTCCTGTAAGTCGCTCTGGATAAGAGCGTCTGCTAAATGACTAAAATGTAATGTAAATGTAAAATGATAAGAGCGTCTGCTAAATGACGTAAATGTAATGTAAATGATAAGAGCGTCTGCTAAATGACGTAAATGTAAATGTACGGTATGTGAAGTGGGGGGTGAGTTGTTGACCATTGATGTGGAAGGTGAGCTCTTCTTGCTGGGGGGTGAGTTGTTGACCATTGATGTGGAAGGTGAGCTCTTCTTGCTGGGGGGTGAGTTGTTGACCATTGATGTGGAAGGTGAGCTCTTCTTGCTGGGGGGTGAGTTGTTGACCATTGATGTGGAAGGTGAGCTCTTC